TACTCGAAACAAACATGTATTCGGAATCAGCATAGCAAACTGAGTCGATCTATAGATGTTTGAAAACATTCTGGGAACTTTTATTTTCCTTCAAAAATTTCATCTTGATTCCTCTCAACGTTAAGTCGAAAAGTCAATTTACTCAAAATGGCACTCTGACTATACAAAGAAGACTGCACATGTGTGACATGCTTGTAGATCCCAGTAACAAAGAAGAGTATTGACTAAAAACGGCATTTTGAGCAAATTAACTTCTCAATCTGATCCTAAGGGAACCAGAGTGAAGTTGTTTGAAGGAAAAGGGAAGTTCTTCAAAAACTTTGAAACATCTATATGAGCAAAATCATTCGTTAGTAATGTGACTTTGCAAATTTAATACACTTATATCTCGGGATAATGAGCTTTCTAACAATTTATCTGTATATGTTACTTTCTGTTAGAGATCTGACGGAATACGAATATACAAGCGAAAAAATGCTCTTATAACAGAATGAGAAGTTCCAAACTGTATAAATCCTTCCTCAGAATCTCTAGATGATGATGCGACAAAAATTTTTGCTATAGGACTGGGCCAAGTATCTAGAAAACTCGGTTTTTCAAAGGAAGTTTTTTGGAATCCGATCCTACTTAACATTCTACCATAGATGCAGATCGTCTCGTAGAGTTTATTCTCAAGTTTTCAAGTTTTTCCTCTTATTATTTTTTTACATATGTCTATGCTGAAAGAACTTATTCAGAAAAATAATCCTTGTAGAGAATCAAAATCAAATAAAAGTGGAGCATGCACTGTTTTGCCTGAAATAGTCCATACATCGATTCAGTTTTTTGTGCTGGTTCTAAATATATTATTTTTTTTCGTTAGAAAGGTGTAAAATCAAGTAAAGTAGTTAAATATAGGCCAAGAAAAGCCGATTCTGACATGATTTTCAATAAAAACCATTTTTCTCAGCTACGGAATAAAATCTCGAAAAGTCCGAATGATACTTTTGAAATGCAACCTCTAGTAGTTCTAATGAATTATGAAATTCAGTTGTATCTCTTTATAGAAAAAAAACTAGATAGCATTACAAAACGTTTATCCGAAATCTGGTCTCTCTTCACCCTTGTAGTACTTGAATTATAATCATTATATATCTGAATAGCCTCATAAGTAGTGCATGTTTATTTTTGATCAGCTCGTGACACTCTAATGTGACTATATATGAAAAAAAAGGAAAAAGAAATCTGCTTTAAGTTTACATTTCCGGCATGTAACAAAATTTGTAGTTCAGATATTGCTTCTCCTAACAAAAAAAGATTTAATTGATTTATAAGTCGTTAACTCAACTACGCAGTATAAAAGAGTTCGATATTTTTTCAAAAAGTTTTACATGACATATTAATTTAATTTGATTAAGATTTTAATAAATCGATTGAGTTCAACGAGCATTCTCCAAAATTAATGTAGATTGTACATATTATTAAAAACTTTCAACACGATTTTTAATACGTATAAATCTTTGTAAGATTTTCTTTTTTGTTGTAATAATAAATCTCTAAACTAACCGGTTAGAACAGCTTTCGGTGGTCCTTGTGGTGAATTTCTTGATACCCATTGAGTTGAATTAAATGATGAGCTATTAACATAATAAATATGTTCGTTTGAATGATTAATAAGTAATGAAATAGGTGAATGATAATTAATAATTTTTCTAATTTCTTCTCTATTTCGATCAAATAACCATCTTCTATGTGGTACATGATCATAACCAAATTTCCAAATTTCTCTACTATATTTATATTTAACTGTTGATTCGTCACGTTCAAGTAATTGATTAATATTATTAATAATTTTTGTTTTAGATGAATCATATCCAATAGACTGTATACTATCATGAAGAGGTTTTAGTATTGGATGATTTATATACGATGAACATAATGATATTGATTGATAATAGCGAAGAATACCTTCATTTTGAAAATCGTCTATTCCTGCATTTGATACAGAAAAACGTGTAGGTACTAATAAAGCCATTGATGGCGAATATAAAGTTTGTCCAAAATGTTCAATTAAACAGTGATGACGACTAAAAAAACCCATTGGCCATTGTTCTAAAACAAACAATTGTCGAGTTAAACAAGTTGTAATACTATCATTAGGAAATTGTTTTTCTAATAAATAACTTAATGTTTCATATTGTGCTGCACGATTCCAATGAACATCACCATACTCATCAAGCCATATAATTGGAATTGATGCAGAACGAAATTTTAATTCAGAATATTCAATTGGTTGAGTATAAGTATTTTTTTGTTCATGATCGTCATTTTTATTGAGAAAAAACATTGATTGAGCAATATTATCAATTTGTATACGATTATATTCAATAAATGAACGAGATTCCGAATAAAGACGAAAATCATGTGTACGAATATTTGATGATACAAGTGAAAATGAAAAATTACTCGATATTTCAATTTTTTTTTCTGATAAATTTTGATAAGAAAATATATAAATAAATATAACAAATGAAAATAAGAATACAATAAATATACGTTTTGATTTTCTCGATCCATAACGAAAGAAAAATCGTGCCATTTTTACAATAAATAATGATAATTTAATATATATATATTGCCAATATTGATTCTGTTATATGACCTAAAAAACAAAAACGACAAGCAAGATATAGATCATATTACGAGAATATTAATAAGGGCAACATGGTAGTAATGAATGACCTCTAAAAATTGAGAAAAAGAAAGGATTTTTTCGAATTTCACAAGTGTAATTAAACATAAAAATATTCATAAGAAATAAGAGACCAAAAAATGTTAGCCTTTTTTTTTATCATACAAGGCTTTTTTTGACTGCTTATTTTATTTTGTACTTTTATTTACACTACCTCTCCCCACTCTCAAGTATACAAGTAATAGAATGACGATCGAAGAACAACTATCAGTATATCGACGATTTTTTTTCACTACCTCTCCCTCCTCTCAGGTATACAAGCAATACACTGACGGTCGAAGAACAACTATCAGTATACCGACGACTTTTTCTCACTGCCTCTCCGTCCTCCCAGGTATACAAGCCATATATTGACGATCGAAAAACAACTATCAGTGTATCGACGATTTTTTTCTCACTGCTGACAAATGTCGCCGGTATAGTGCACCTTATGCCGAACATTTTACTGGAAGTGTTTCTATGGTTTGATTTACATGGGTAATTATAAAGAATGTTATGTAAATTCAATTTACAAAACGAATTTTTATCACTAAAGTATTGATCTAATTCAATTACTTTTATTCCGAAATTTAATATAATAAATTGTTCATAATGTTATTCAAAATGAGAGAGTAAAAACTCTGATCATGAATGCAGCAGTCATTAGATCCTTCAGAACAACTATGGTAAGTCTCTTATATTGGTATGACAATGATCAGTTTACAAAGTAAATAACACAGAAAGAATATTATTCACTCTATCCATTGAAGTTTTGTGCTCAAGGAAAGTATGAGAATGGAGTTCTGCAATATATTCGGTTTTTATTATTTTATACTTCCATTGTTATGCTTCACGACTGAATAAATCTTTTTGACTTTTTTACGATCAGACTGTTAATTGGTCAATCTCTAAGTTGTAGCTATCATCTTGTTGAAAACGTTAATTTTTCAAGAAATTTTCTTTAAAAACAAAAAAAGAACTTAAAAACATTATGCCTCTTTGAATATTTTGATGTCTTTATTTTCTGTTTTTCAGCATTGTTGTATTATTACGATTAAGATATTGGTTATTAATTGTTTTCTTTTGCACTAAGAACTTACTGTCGATCATTGTTCCTTCTACATTCAACTAAATTTACTAGTTCTAATTTGTTGATATTAATTGTAATATAAATATATAATAATTTTTAAAAATCAAGAAAATAAATCTTAATTCACCAATTGAAATATTATATTTCTAGTCATGCATGATGGACCATTAGTTATTTAAAGATCATAAGTATGTGATGTGGTAAAACTTGTCGACTTGAACAATATTTAATACATAGAGTTTATGGCAAAACAATGAAGCTTGTATTATCAGTAAAGTGTCTAAATTATTTGGCATATTTTTCTCCTACATAGTATTTGATGACAATATTTAGTAGCACATTTCTGTATTATGCCTAACGAAACTGATAGATCACAAATTATTGTTGATAATTTCATATGTTAGATAGCATATCTCTGCATAACTTTGCTTGAATTTCAAAATGAAACATATTCGAATTTTAGTATTTATGAAGAATGTATGTTTGACAACTCTTTTCATAGATATAGTATTAACATATTTCTCTTTCAACATACAAAAATCTCTTTAATATTTGAACTTTCTCTAATATGTGCATTATCTTTTTGTAGAACAAAATGTTGACTCTAAAAATAGTTTTGATAGTAGTGCTGCCTTTCATGAAAATGAAGAAAAAGTTTTATTTAAAATGTGAGAATACAGGTTTGGATGAAAATTTTCTTGTCGATTGTGACGTTAACGACCATTGAAAAATATTGTACCAGTGAAGATATATGATAAATGATAATATATATTAGACAATTGTGTTAAATTCATGATATCTCCCTGTATATCACACTATCATTTACTTTTCTCATTTAGTATAGATTCACACGTAACGACAAAAAGAGAACATTCTTCATCTAAGGGTGTGGGTGGGGTGTGGTGGTGGTGGTGGTAGGTGGGGTTGATATGTGGGGTGTGGTGTGGGTATGGTGTGGGTGAGTGGGTGTAGCGGTGGGTGTGGGTGTCGATGAGTTGTAAAATAGCATCCACGCCCACCCACCCCCCCCCAACACCCATACACCCACCCACACCCACACACCCACACAACCACACACCCATACCCCACACATCCACACACTCACACCCTTCTTGAAATTTCAACATAAAATTTCAATATTTTTAATGAATATTATAATATCATGATAATAACTCTGTAAAGAAAGCTATTTGAAATAAATTATTGGATAGTACATTTTCGTAGTTTATGATGGTGACGACGTGTAATCTCAATATCACTATTGGTATTGATCCATAAAATCAGTCTTTTCTCTCTATCAGCAATATTTAATACCTTCGATTCGAATAAATTTCTTTGAAGTCGACTATGTTGTCTGATCCATGCATGACTTGGAGCATATTGACTGCGAGCTAAATGCACAGTAACATTTTCGAGATCAAGAAGTTCATTTAGTAAATAACAGAGCATCTGTCGTGAATGATAGTCTGTTGTCAAATGGGTTAAACGGGGAAAAAGTCGACATATATGATAGAAGAGTTGTTTTCTCGTTGTTGATGTATAATCGAAAAGAACAAGACGCCGAATAGAAACAAGTGGTGATACAAGTTGATTAAATAGACTAAGACTATGTAAATATTGAATATGTATACAATAAAGATTAGTCATGTTTTCCATTAATCGAATAACTGCTTTCGAAGTATCGATCGTCGATGAAAACCTAAAATATTTGATCATGCTAAGATCAACATTATCTCGAATTTTATCACAAAAATACATCATTAAGCATCCTTTTAATGAGAGTCGTGTAACATGATTGAAGCATGATCGCTTTACAAATTGAGACATTAATATTTGTTCGAGTTTTTCGTATCCAGGTAAATTGATAGTTAAATTTTCAATATTCGAACAAAACATATTAGGATTCTGTATTAAACTAAATGAATATGGATACGTATTATCAAAACTTTTTGAAGCAAAATACGGTACAGTGATAAGAGCCCTTTGATCATAATCATATTCGACAAACCATTGTTTTATATCTAACCACCATTTTGATCGAAATCTATTTAAAAGGAAATTTATTTGTGTTTTTGATGTTTCCATAATAGCAAATTTAAAATTGAACGTTTTTAAATAAATGACTGATGTTGATAGAAATAATTCCCATTGAATTCCATCCAATGCATCACTATTCGTTTCCAATTGTTTGCTCAGTATTAATGTCAAATATTTTAGTTGATCCATATCCATTAATAGTCGTTTTAACATACAAAACTGAGAAGTAGTTTCGACTAAAATATAACTAAAAGTATCGAAGAATATATTTGAAAAAAAGATGAAATTATATTTGACACTATACAAAAACAGAAACTTAACTAATGCATTTTATTTCAATATAAAATATGATCTATTCATCTAGATTAAGGCATTTACAATATATATACGTGCTCGTGTATGTCTATAAAATTTATTTAAGAGAATACAAAAAAGCTTTCAACCAGAGATCATCGACAGCTCTAACTTCGAAGAACTCGTTCTACGACTTGGGTTTCACTCTGGAAACGTAGCAATTAAACGTTAAAAATGATTCTTATATCGAATATCTTCATGTGGATCTTAGTCAGTTGAAGTACATAGAACTATAGGAATTAATTAAAATTGAACAGCATAGTTCTGGTTTTAGTGGTATGTCTTTTATTTGGGACATTTTTTCGGAAAAAAATATTTCAAAAGCAACATAAGGATATTGAGTCGATAGTGACACGATTTCAGCAGTTCAATGAGTGATGAAGCGACTAATTTGGATGCATTAAAAATTGAGTCATATTTTCTGACAATACATATGAGTGGTTATGAGTTCCAATCTATCTCAACTATTGAAGAATGATAACTATAGAGAACCTTTGGTTAGACAAAATTCCTCATCTCATTTCTCATGTAAATACGATTTTGAGTCAAAACCCGTCTGAACACGATTGAACCTAAAACGTAGTCTAGATGGACTTGATTCAATATTTCAAAAATGTATTGTAGTCCGTCTCATGGTTGGTCTGAGTCGCTATTGATATCGCCTAACGATGATCTTTACTTCACTATGGGCCAACGGAAAGTTTAAATTTTGATGTTTCTGAAATAATATAAATTACGTTAGAACCAATGATTAAAAAGCAAATATACATACTATTGAGTCACATTTGCTCACACTAATTGTCAAACGAAACAGAAACTGTATATAAAATATCTATTATAAAATTGTTTACAAATATATGTGCCAATAAAATGCTGCGTGCATATAATACTCTAATTATAGTTGTATATATAAATATATCTACTTATCCAAAGAATATATGCATTTAGTAAATTGAAATACATTATTTTTAAAATTTTCTAATGTTGCAAACTATTTCTTTTGGAATAAAAGTTCATTTGTATTTTCCCTAAAATTTCAGTACTTTCAATTTTAGTGTACTGATGTTTCAGAAGTTATGACCCTATTCTACTTTAAAAAAGAATGTATTTATTCTGTTTTTCATGAGTAAAAAGCTTAAAAATGTTGAGGACTTTGAAGGGTGTGGGTGTGGGGTGAATGTATGATGTCTGTGAGGTCCTATGGATGTATGTGAATGCAGATGTGTATATTGGTGCTAATGCGGGTATATGTGGAGGTGTTCTGATATTGATGTGGGTGCGTGTGAGTGTGATTCTGGATCGCTTAGCTTCATACAAGTGGACGCTCAGAGTTCGCACTCATCCGACTTCCTCGTAGGAATGGGAATAGAACGTTATCAATCAGTTATTTTTTCTTTGCAACTTCTTAAAAAAAAACAAATTATCACTTCCTGTCGACCAAATATCGTCAATACATCGTTTATTGATTTCATCCGTTACCAGGTAATTGGTAACTCGGAACTTTGTTAAATGATGTATTGACGATATTTGGTCGAATGGAAATGATAATTTGTCTTTTTAAGAAGTTACCAGGAAAAAGTAATTGGTAGCTCCTCCGTTACGTATTACCAGTTATTTGATTACGTAACGGTAACTAATCCCCCACCCCTCTACTTCCTCGCCTATCCGTCACCTGCCGCTTCTCTCGTCCCAACATTTTATTTTCGATATTTTTGATGAAAATTTATATAGTGTGGTATTTAAATTTTCAAAATTTTTATCTTCGGCATTTCTCAGGAGAACCGGCCTACACGTGTTCCGAATTGAAATCGTCTTTGGACGCAGAAAACGACTCATTGAAGATGCGATTCCAAACGAGAACGCGTCCAAATTCAATCGAAGTCTTAATTCAAACTCGTTCAGACACGTTTGCAATTGGTCTTTTACTGCGACTAGACACGCTGTATAAGAGAAATCCGTTTAAATAAACGCACATTTTTTAGTTTGATGCTTACATGGGTTTAACAGCAGCTATTTGACATAAAAGCGATAAATAAAATAGTTGTATTTGACTATTTTCATTACGAGGAAACATCGATAATTCTCAGATATTGTTTTTTTTTTGATTGGATACAATGAAGATTACATATCACAGAGACTAGAATGTTACTTTGAAAATTTCAACGTAAACGATTAATTTTGTTTTTTTCAGTATCGATATTTAGAAAGCAACTATCTGTTACAAGTAGGACAGAATGGTCAAATTTACTGAAAAATTCGATAGTTCGAGAATGACACATTGATGTTTGTTGAAGTTTTCAGAGCATTTTAATAAGCAGTAAGCTTAACTATAGACAAAAATTTAGTGCAACGTTAGTTTTGTGAATGCTTGACGATAGACTCAGAATTCAGGAAAATATTCATCATTCGACACTGATACATTATGGGCCTAGATTTTCTTGGTTTCTATGACATATAATCCTTATCATAATATTATATGTGGAGAAAAGTCATGAAAGCATTAACCTGTTCGAGATTTGACTTTAAACCAAACAAAAATGTACTAAAAAATGTAGCTATTTTCATATTTACTGTTCAAATTTAGATTGAATTGAATTAATTGTGTCCATAGATAATTTCTGCTTGCGAGCATGAATTTCTGAATATCTTGTGAATTGGATTGAATACTAATGCCAAGTGATTTTAGTTGGTACATATTAGGACGAATAAATTTACTTATATCAACTATGGAATCAAAAAACATATGCAAATATGTTAAATGACTTGGTATCTTGTTCGATAATTGACGAAATTCGTGGCTTGAAGATGTAACAAGATGTGAAAGAGAATCAAATGAATATTTCGATGATACATTTGAGTTATTAAGACGAATACGATCGAAACGAATTGAAATGAGTGTATTATAGTTGATTATTGACGACAATCTTGTTAGAAACAATTCGTCAATTAATATTGTATCATCAATCCATAGTGATCGAAGACGAATTAATGGTTGACTATTTGAAAAACTTGTTATAAATCGATTGACTAAATGAAAATCGTTTTGACCAAGTTTCAATCCAACAATTTGTTCTGATCGCAGAAACGAGCAAACAAGATCAAATTCTTTTTTAGAAATATCCAATGAGGATATGTCTAACATATAGTTATCATATCCAATGAGAATATCATTTAAATAGTTATTTATCGAATGAAATGCTCTTAATATATGACAACCAGAAAGATAAGAGAATATTTCATAAAATAATTCTACTGGTAAATAATCGAGCACTAGGTCAGACATATTGTTATTTCACATGTACATGTAGGCGTATTCCAAAATAAATCAATAGAAATGAGGAATGAATAATATATTGTAGAGTGAATGGTTAAAAGGAATCACTTAAAATGGTAGAAACCAACGTATTTTAGTTGGATAGACTGTATACGCATAGTTAAATCTACAAATAAAAAGCTGTTAGTGTGATCCCTGCGCGATTAAGATGTGAAACACGATGTACCCATTGTTCCCTCAAACCCGTCTTTTCTTCTCTACATTGATACATGTTTCTTCATCATTACTTACTTTACAGTATAGAACTTCAAGAAGAAAATCATCCGCATATATTCTACTAAGATGTTAGTTTTACATCATTTTCGATAATACCTTTAAGCTCGTCTGTCATGGTGTGGGCAGGGGGGGGGGTCTAAATTTCTACCCTATGCACTTCAACACTCCTTTCAGATCGTGTTTCCCGATATTCAGACGATGCGGTAAGATCTTTTCTCTTCAATGGAAAAAAAGTAAGAAAACAACAGAGATGTGCAAACGAAAATAGAATCCACCATGAATGCATTATCAGGTACTTCGTCAGAGAAGCTAATATTTTACACTGCCTATTGTCATATGGTATCATCTCTATTGATGTATTAGGTTGAAAATCTAGGAATTCATAAAACCTTTTATGGATGTTCTCAAAATTTTCGTTAATCACAAATATAAGAGACATAGGACTTATTGGAGATATTTAGCTGCAAATCAAGTATAGCTAAAGAATAAGGACGTTGGCATACACTAAGAGCATGTCTTCCACTGAGCTAGCCACTGAAATGCACCCCGTATAGGATAGTCTGAATTCTGAAATCCAAGTTATTCTCATTCAATCTAAAGTGGTTATTGTATTTCAGCCCATCCGAAGCATGATTAATGGATGTGGTGGTTCTCTTCCTTTACAGGGTGTGCTTTGAGAATTGTTAATAAAAAATAAATCATACTATGTCTAATACTTCATGACAACTATAAACAATTTTAAATTGAATTCAAAACTTTATTGTTCATTTTCCAATCTGATATCAGCTTTCTATAAAAAATCAAATTCAACACACAATTAGAGAAAAAAACAAATATATTTTAATTGCAAACAATTTCTAAATCGAATACATACGAGAGTTTTTTGTTTTTCATAAAGAAATCCTAGCGATATGATAGTTATCGATGACTCATAATTAATTAATGTTTGATAACAATTTCTTCGCTGTTACGTCTGCATAAGGTATTCATACAAGATCTCCATCAATTCACAATTCCAACAATGCATTAATCACTTCTTGTATTTCTTTCATCGGATAGAGACGTTGAATTATTGACACAAAGAAGCATACAAACAAAAATTAAAAAGAAAATATGATACACACATTGAGCAATCATCAAACCGAATACATATCGATAGTGCTACTCAGGATACAATGTAACCGAGTGTTTGATATAATATGATGCACATGTCTATTGGTTGAAGAATTCATTTCGGGAGGAGATAAAATCACGATAGAATCAGCATGGAGTAGACGAGCAATTGGTAAAGACTATTCTTCTCTGTCATTATGCATTCGAATGGCTTATTCAGCCAAGAAAGATTCTATTTGCTGATCGATAAGAATTATATGTAATCTTATGACAAATCATTGTCTTTTATAAGTAGGCAAATCGTATAACACACATCATTACTTCGTTTCGATGAGTCTTTATTTGTCTTTTATATATGTGGGGGTGAAACGTTTTTTGTTCTTGGTTTCTTCGTTTTGGCGACCGTAAAAACAAAAAGATTTTATTGCAGATAACGAAAATCTGCTGGATAAATGATTCATTTTTTACAATGCTCTTCACTATATCTTTATGCATTTATATTGAATTAGTCTAAAGAGTACTGCCTCGTCTTTGTTTTTTTTTCTCTGCTACCTATATGTATTTTCACAATGGAAAAGATAAAAGAGGGCGTGGATGTGGGTCCAAATAAAGGCAAGAGCCCAATCCACACCTACATTCGCACTCATGCTCTAAAAGATTTTTGTTATAAGTGGAACCATTTCTCGACGTTTGGGGATATTGCCCAGCCCACCTCTTTTCTTGTTCGAAGAAGATCCAGTGGCAGTAAATATAATTATCTTGTGAACTCGATTAATGCTTTATACTTTCACAGGTACCAGAATTTTCACAGTGGTCGTTCTCTTGAACTTCGAAAATCATTTTTCTCTGTTTTATGTCACTCATGATTCGATGTAATTTCATCACTTGTTGTTTTCCTATTCTGCGTACATCTAGTCACAATAATTTATCATATTCAGAGAACAGAAGAGCGAAAGTGATTGAGAAAAAGAANGAGTGCACCAAATCCTGTTTATCTACCTTAAGATTGTACACTTTCGGTAAGAAGACTTCAAAATCCAACCAAATCTTTGTGTTGCTTATTAATTATAAGCAATTTTAGTCACACTACTTCATATTGCATTACCATGTTCACCAAATATCGGAAGTCGGAAGTGTTTTTCTGAGATTTAACAAATATGGTACTGCAATATACAGTAGAGCGACTAAAGATATTTCTAACTTACAATTGACACAAAGATTTGATCTAATTCGGGTGCTTTATTACTGAAAATATAAAATCTTTATGTAGAAGCGCAGGATTTGCCGTATCCCTCAATTTGATGGTATGGATAAAAACGCAATTTAATTTATCAATCCATACTTACGTTTGTATAAGTTTTTCAACTAAATCTGAACAAATAAGTTATATTTTTTTTAAATTTATTCTTATACTTGGATTATATTTTGAATCACATCTAAAGAAAAAAAAGAATTTGAATTTTTTATGAATTTATACTTGCATTTCAGTTCGCTGTTGGGCAACATCTAAATGTAAAAAATAATTTTAGATCTTCATGAAAAATTGTAATTCCATTTCATCTAAGTTTTGTGCCGCATCTAAGTGAAAGAGATTTTTTTTTAAAATTAACACTTACATTTCAGTTCCGTGATGATTCATATCTACATGAAAAAACTTATTTTATTTTTTTATAAATTAATCCTTACACTTGATTTAGATGCTGTATTATATCTAAATAAAAAACAAGTTCCTGCATCTTTTTTTGCGTGCTGAATAGTCGTGTATGTTAATTTCAAAAGTTATGCATATATAGAAAAAAATCTGATAAATCTTCTCTATGCTAACCAAAAAGCTTTCGCTTTGGGGACACGTTTTGCATTAATTCTTTTCGAAGAAAGAAAGATTTTATTTTTCATTTTTCATCAACGTTAAATCAGAAAAGTCAAAAATCTTATTGTAGCTGTTTTTCCCTTGGACTTTCCATCAATTACACTTGGTAAAACTAAGTAAACAACACCGTCGGTTTTCGAAAAAAAGACGACATGGGTATTTTATCAATGTAGATAATTCTTTTAAAATTATGCAAAATTTTCGGTCTTTAAAGTTTTAAAAAATGTACTCATAGTAATTTTAATAAAACTTGTACCTTCAGTTTTACTTTTAACTAGCTGCAATTTATGGAATTCACCAGACATAATTGTTACTATAAATATGATGAGCTTTTTCTTTTAAATTTGAACACGCCATTTGATTGTCATTATATCATGGAATCGAACATCAAATAGAGGCTTACCAATTGAGATGCAAAGGATTTATATATAAATATCAAAATAAAGAAAATGGAATTAAAAAAAACACGGATTTGAGATATTGATGTTGGTGAACGGCGTCTCTCCACAAACACATCTCCATTCACTCACCTTGTACACGCAATAAAAATTGAATTATCATTATAAATTACGATAAAATTTCTTTGGAACCTTGTTTTCACTTAGATGCAAGTGTTTCTTAGCTAAGTCGAAATCAACAAACCTTGCTCGGGCATGATTATAATCACTAGAACAATGAAAAACAAAATCCCCCAGTCAATATCAATCTTGACCTCAGTTGAAATTTTTCTGAGTTATGCCTTAATCGAGTCACCATGCTTATGTATTATGGGTTTCTATAAATTTCAGCAACTCTACTAAATTCAAATGCTATTTCTTATCTAAAACTTGCATCCTCTATAAACTACAATATCGTTTCTTAAAATAAAAACAACGTTTAATTAAAATTTTTCAAAATAATTTATTTCCTAATCTCATTGATTAAATCTTTAAAACTGACCTATCAAGTTTAATCTTTTTTTGTAGCAGACTAATGAAGTGTTCAAGTTCAAATCAACCGAAAGTTTGAAAAAAATTTAATTTCACCTAAACTTGATTTTCTTAATGTTTGAAAATGAAAAGTACCCCCATTTTTTCCGATCGTTAAAACTGCAATGATCGCCACAAACGAGCAAATAGACTAGCATCAGTTCTCTGAAAATTGTTAAATAACTGATGAGAAGTCTGTGAAAACCGATCAGTTTTAAAAGTTCGACTGCACTGAACTTGTTGCCAGAAATCGGCTGGTTCGAGATCGTTAACCATTACGACTTTCAAAGCTAGAGTGATTTGAATTTTCTCGAAAAAACCGAACTCATGAAATTAATTTGATAAAAAATCAAAAAATGCTCTCTAAAATGTAATACTATTCTTATTTTAATTTCCTCGCTGAAAAGAAGGAATTGAAACCTTTACGTCGATTCATATTTTAAAATCATATTCGATGCTATTTGTCCATCGGGTTTAGATTGATCGTTTTATAATACCCATTATCTCAAGATTTGTTTCACACAAGAAGAAAGAATGGCATATAGTACATTTGAACGTTTTGTAATTGCCATGTATGTGATAGATGGTGGAAGTTGTTATCGTTGTCGATAGGGGTTCATCAGCTACAATGGTTTTTGGTGAGCGTTCTTATTTAGTCCAGGCTATCAGGTTATGACACTTTCTGAACTCATTCTCATTATTTGAATCTTGAAATAATTTGGGTGTACAGCGATAGACATCAATCATACTTGTGTCGTTGTTTCCAGCACGATATTGTATTG